GAAATCCGTAATAATCGGAAGAACGGTTTCAGAGTTATTGCCTTTGACTCAGTAAAAATGCATCAAATTTGCCTTGTAGGCACAATAGAGACTACAGTTTTTATCCGATTTTGCCCTTGACTTAGTAAAAATGCATCAAATTTGACTTGTAGGCATGATAGAGACTACAGTTTTTATCCGATCTTCATGAAACTTGGTATGCATGTATGTATTGATGAGATCTTAATCAAGTTCGAAATTGGTAATAATCAGATGAATTGTTTCAGAGTTATTGCCCTTGACTTAGTAAAAATGCGTCAAATTTGGCTTGTAGACATGATAGAGACTACAGTTTTTATCTGATCTTGATGAAACTTGGTATGCATCTATATATTGATGAGATCTCGGTCAAGATCAGAATTGGTAATAATCGAGTGAACGTTTTCAGAGTTATTGCCCTTGACTTAGTAAAAATGTGTCAAATTTGGCTCGTAGGCACGATAGAGACTACAGTTTTTATCTGATCTTGATGAAACTAGATATTCATATAATATATTGATGAGATCTGAATCAAGTTAGATATTTGTAATATATGGATGATGAACAGTTTCCATAGCCCTTCTTGATTCTACAGAATAATTTATAGCTGGGATCTTTTATCTTAAACAGTCAAACAATATTGAATACCTTGAAGAAATGTCTGATTTTAAATTTCAGTGATGTATTACAAAGTCAAGCTAAAGGTTATGTGATAGCCATACAATGGATATTACTATACTATTTTGAAGGTGTACCTTCATGGAGCTGGTAAGTAAATTTTTTGTGGGTTGTGTTAAATGTTAGAAAAGAAACATGACAGATCTTTTGCAAAGATCGGATAATTAAATTTTTATGCATATCTAGATTAGATTTTAATTTTTATACGCCCACATGAAATGGGGGGGGGCGTATATTGCCGTCACCCATGTCATCTGTCCCTCGGTCCGTCCACAATTGCTCGTAAACACTCTACAAGACACAATTCTTGTTTTTGACGAAACTTAGTATGAGTGTTCGTAATCACCCAAGGATGAACCCTATTGAAAATCAGCGGAATCGAAAAATATTTAGTATAAGTTATTGCCCTTGTTCTTGAAAACGCGTTCAAGTTTTAGCTTGTAAACACTCTAGAAGGGACAATTCTTGACAGATTTTGAGGTAACTTGGTGTGAATGTTCATTATCACCCAAGGATGAACCCTATGGAAAATCAGAAGAATTGAAAAATATTTAGTATGAGTTATTGCCCTTGCTCTTTCATATTTTTATTTAAAATCAAAGATGCCAGGGGGCGTATATTACCTTGCCTGGCAAAGCTACCTGTATATGCTCACATGACATCGGGCGTCTCCCATGTTTGTCGGTCCTCTGTCCGTCCACAATTGCTCGTAAAATCTCGACACAATTCTCAAAGGATTTTGACGAAACTTGATTTTGACAAAACTTGAAAACACTCTAGAAAGCAAATTTTTTTTACAGATATTGACAAAACTTGGTATTGGTGTTTGTAATCACCCATAAAATTATTTTATGACTGGAGGTTGAATATTTCATACTGTTATTGTTACTGTACTTCCAAATATATTTATTGTATTATATATTATTTTATTATAATGGATTTATTTGAAATAAATTTATCATGCTTTTGGTTGTAAAAGTTTTTCATCATGATATAAACTTTTTGTTTTAGGTATTATCCTCATCACTATGCTCCATTTATAAGTGATGTGAAAGACTTCAGTGATATGAAAATAGAATTTGAATATGGAAAACCTTTTCTTCCATTTCAACAATTAATGGCAGTGTTACCAGCAGCTAGTAAAGACTTATTGCCCCGTCCATTACAAACATTAATGATAAATGATAGTTCACCTGTTATAGATTATTATCCTGTAGATTTTAAAACTGATTTAAATGGTAAGCAACAAGATTGGGAAGCTGTGGTGTTAATTCCTTTTATAGATGAGGTAAGTAAGGCAAACAAAAAAAGGTGATGTTGTGTCACTGCATTGAAATATTAACATCCTACTATTCCATTTATTCAACACTAGGTTGGAATTGACAAAGCTCTTTAATGATACTTTCAGATGAAGTTTACCTTCACACATTTTTATAAAGGGCCGTTGTATGCCCATTTTCTCGCTGTTGATCTAGTGTTCGTGACGTCACATAGGCTATTCCTTCACTTGAGATTGCTATCTTTTCAATAGATAATTTGTGTTAAGAGCCCTGTATTGTATGATATTACTTTCAGAAAAGGTTATTAGATGCTATGTCAGCTCAGTATAAATATTTAACACCAGAAGAAGCTAGTAGAAATAGACATGGCCCCTGTTTATTATCTGTATACAGTCCTACATCACAAGGTGTTTATGGGTCTCCGATACCAGGTGTTTTTCCTGATATTGGTGCTAATCATACCAAGTATGTAGATTTTTTAACATGCTCACATGCTGTGTGGATGTATATTGCCAGGTTCTGTCAGTCTGTTTGTTCACATTTGCTTCTAAGCGCACTCAAATTTACAGTTATTTACAGATTTTCATGAAAATTGGTATATGTGAAAACATCCCAGGTTGATCTAGATGCTGAAGTGGATGTCTTTTGCTGTGATCTGATCACTAGGATTATGGTTATGTATGGTCTTAATTGTGTTTGACATTTAGTGAGAAGAAACATTTTGGATTTAATGACTTTTTATACGCCCACATTATAATGTGGACGTATATTGTCGTCACCCATGTCCGTCGGTCCGTCTTCGATGAACGGTTTTTTAGTTATTTCCCTTGACTTATAAAAAACGCGTCAAAATTTGGTTGTGAACACAATAGAGACTACAGTTTTTGTCCAATTTCAATGAAATTTGGCGTGAATATTTATATTGATGAGATCTTGGACAAATTTGAATTTGGCTATCTTTCGATGAAAGGTTTTTGAGTTATTGCCCTTGACTTATGAAAAACGCGTCAAAATTTGTTTGTGAACACAATAGAGACTACAGTTTTCATCTGATTTAAATGAAATTTGGTATGATCATTTATAATGATGAGATCTTAATCAAGATTAAATTTGACAATTTTTCAATAAAGGGAATTTGAGTTATTGCCCATGACTTAGTATAAACGCATCAAAATGTCTTAGCGTTAGAGGTGACAGTTTATGTCAGAATTTTATTAAATAATGTGTCTTTGTTTAAATCAACAATATCTTGCACAAATTAGATTTTTGGTATGATTTGATACAGATAGGTGACTGCCCTTGATATACTGAAAATGTATCAAGAAAGTGGGCATATCTTGGTAGGCAACCACTTGTATAAATACTCTATCAAAGAAACTTAAACATTAGAGTTCACATTTTCCATCTTGTAGAATAGAAAAGTCCTCAGCATGTAAATAATTATGTGAAATCAGAATATTGATATGTATATTATATATAAATAGAGTAACAGAGATACCCATAGATGAGTTTGTTGTGGATCCCAACAGATTAAGAAAAGGTTTAGTGGAAGGAGTTAGATTGGATGTTTATTTTCCAGGTTTCCCTACCCTATATCATATACCTCATACAGTAAGTGCTGTAACTAACAATTTGTATCAATAGTCTGTAGATAGTTCCTAGATATATTATGTGCATTTGTCAGGGTACTATTGCCTTAAAAAAATCTTATTTTATTTGTATAAGCTGAATTAAAATGTAAAGGGTTTTATTCTCATCACCATCTGAACCTGTAAGTGAATCCTTCCACAAATATTGCTTGTAAGTACAGGTACTCTAGAAGACAAAATTATTGATGTTTTTGATAGGTGGATCAAAAGTCAAACATACAAAATATATTTAACACGAGTCATTACCTTTATTCTTCAATTTTCAAAATGTGTTCTTTATGAAAAAGTTGATAGAAGCTTATATTGCCGTCAGTCCAACAACGATTAGTGTGTAATTGCAAATAAATCAGAGACTTTGAACAATTTTGAAATTTTTGTGGGTGAAAATGTGAAAATCAGCTTAAATTTTTAAATACTATTGATTTTTCAATTCAGATAGCACCATACTGATTTATCTAACACTGAATTGAGGACTTATTTTACATTCTATAAACACTGTTTATCTATATTTTATTTAGGCTAGATTAAGTAGTGAAGGTGTTAAAGTATTCCAGATGAATAGTCGTGGTCAAAATATGATTCTAGATATTGCACAATCATCACAGACAGTAAGTGAAATTTCTTATATTTCTTCTTCATGATATAAGGAAGGAATAGGGGTAAAAGATGGAAATAATTACTCATGATTCTGAAAGCCATTACCTGCAATTGGATTTATCAATTAATCTTTTTAGAGAATTCGTAAATAGATACTGATAGTTATTTGGTTTTTTTATGGAAAAAAACTTCTCTATAAAAAAAATACTGCTATCTTATTATATGATGAAATGATTTATAGGATATAGAGATGGCTGTAAAAGATTTGTTAGGAAAAACTACATTTGTTGGCTGGCCACATTTGTTTGAAGCTAAAATTGTTGCTGTCAGTGATGGAGCTGTGAAGTAAGTTTTTTTAGATAAGGAATTGTTTTTGTTTCACAAAAATAAAAAAAACATCAAAGTTTATTCCATGTGCATTTGACATTTCATTGGAAGAAATAATGTTAGATTCATAGTCCACTACTAAATACGATATGTTTTGATTTCTTTTCTTATCTATAAAGCATGTTCAGCAATTGGTTTGTTAACTTATATTTTTCCCGTCAGCTATGGATATGGTATAAACTGTTAACAAAATTGAATTGTTACAATTTTAAGAATACATCTATAGACGGCATATATTAACAAGGCAGTAAATTAGGCAAAGGAGGGTTTGGTGGATTTAAAAAACATATTGAGAAAAATAGACTTCTAAATTTTGTTCATTGGTTCAAAAATTATTTTCTCAATTGCCTACTTTTATGCTCTGGCATCCATTAAGATATTTATTTTCCAGACATGAACTTGTGGAAGAACGAAGCAGTAAATCAAAGAAAAGCAAATCACCGAGGTTGGAAAAGAAAGTTTCAGATTTAAGTAATGATGATGCTCAAATATTTTATAGAACAGTTGATAATATCAAAGAAAGGTAATAGACTCTCAAATATATATGACAGTATGACTAGTTTTTAAAATTTTAATTTCAATGTCATAGTGTTCAATATTTGCAGAAATTACAAATGTATACATGCAATTAAGTTTGCTCCAAGTTAGTCTCCAAAATTATTTATTGGTTAACTCTACTATAGTTTACATGACTTATTGCATTGATTACTTCAGCAAAATCATTTAAAAAGACTGTATTTTTAAAATATTTGTCATTAAAATGCTCTCAAATTTGAATGTTCACATTAAAATTGCATGATCATCCTAGTATCTTTGTTAAGATGACACTTTTACACTGATAGCATATATTATATTTGTATGTTTTAGATACCATGATCGACAAGGTGTTAATATTGGTATTACATCCTTTTTGGTTTATGGTTGTCCTATGACAGGTCGAAAATATGCCTATGGTTCTCAGGGAAGAATAACCCTAGAAAAACAGTTCTCAGTCCAGCCAGTGCCATTTGCATTTCAAGCCACAGTACAGGTATTGTAGGTTTTCTCTTTTCCAAATCACTTTGAACTCTTTAAAACAAATTAGGAACATGCCCTATTTATTGTTTATTTATATGAGTTAAGTTTTTGTTCTTTTTTCAGAATATTACCGTCCATGATCCAACCTTCTGTGAATATATGTCTATGGAAGATTTATTTCCGGCAGAATCTGGTGTATTTATGTTGGGATCACCTCATTATGGTTGCCAAGGCGAGGTAATTTTTTGTGTTTTATATTAAGAAATTCTATACATTTTGACTCTGTTCATTCAAGTATGACACATTGTCAAACTCAAAACATTTGTGGTGCTTTGTAGAGTTTCTTCAATATATTGGTCCTATTATTAGCCTATCAATTTTTATTTTTTTCCTTACAGGTACTTGAAGTAGATAGTAGTGAAGGGAGAGTAAGAGTAAACTTTACAGTACTAATACAACCTGATATTGATAAAGTTTTACAACAATGTAAGGTAAGAACTCACACATTGTCTATGTCTGAAACTCAATGAAATTCTTGTTCTGTTTTTTCATCTTATGATGGTAATTTATATATTATTATATTTCATTGTTATAACAAATATTATGAATCGCATATCTTTGCCGACTTATGCATATTGATAGACCAGAGATGAGTTTTAACTTTTTTATGTATAGCTAGAATTTGCTCTTGTTTATCTCTAAATTTCCAATAAGCTTACAAAGTTTGATCATGCAATTGTGGTTAAATATATTTTGATTTTAAAATACTGATTATTACATTTTGTTATAATTTAGGGCACAACTAACTATGTACCAGGGTATGTAGCTGCTCAGAAACTTGGTGTGCATACTCATTTTTTATCACGTATAACTGGTACAATATATTTACAACGTGGTAGTCCAGATAGTCCTAGTAATGGCAAAGCTAATGTTGGTCTCAATCTTAAATTTTCTAAACGTGGAATGGAAGTCCCAGGTTATACCAAAAAGACAGAAGATGGTTGGTTATATTCTAAAAAATCTGTGGAAGCCATTGGCCAATATCTAGACAAGTAAGTGTAGTATAATTCTGCCATCAGTCATTGTTAAATTTTCTTATTCTTAATCTCAAATCATCACTTTCATTAATTGATGTCTTGAATTAGTCCTAACTCTGATTTTTCTTTTGTAATATATTTTGAAAGAAAACAAGTTTAATATGGTATTTTTAGATTTCCTGAGTTGTGTGAATATTTGTCAACTGAAAACACCTCTTCGAGTGATAATTACGAGGCTTATGATATATTTGGAGAAGAATGGTAAGAATTGACTTTTTGGAGCTTGTTTAACAACCTCAATCATCAAATATTTATATCTTCTATATTTGATGCACTGCATTTCATCAAACTTAATCATAAAATGGCACACCTCATTATATTTTTTTAAAAAGTTTCATATCACTTCTCTGTTAAGAACCTATGTTTACATTTTAAATACAACTTGACATGTATACATTAGGTTAATGTGACTGTATGAAACAGGATCAACATGTATGTTATGAGAGCAATGCCAATTTTATTAAGTATTATTATGTAGCCTAGTGGTTTATACATAAGTGTACACAGGTTTTTTCTGTTTATGCATCGATAAGCTGAAAAAAGTGTTCAGGTCATTCCTTACGTGTTTAAATATTTATTTAATATTACATTATTAGGCACTTAATTGGCCCATAATTACATAACATTTATATACGACCACATGAAATGGGGGACGTATATTGCCTTCACCCATGTCCCGTCGGTCCATCTGTCCGTCCGTCGGTCGATCGATAAGTCCATCCGTCCACAATTGCTCGTAAACACTTTACAAGACACAATTCTTGGTGGATTTTAAGTGTTTATAATCACCTAAGGATGAATCCCATTGAAAATCAGAAAAATCGAAAAATATTTAGTATGAGTTATTGCCCTTGTTCTTGAAAACGCGTTCAATTTTTAGCTCGTAAACATTCTAGAAGTCACAATTCTTGACGGATTTTGACGAAACTTGGCATGAGTGTTTATCACCCAAGGATAAATCCTATTAAAAATCACAAAAATCGAAAAATATTTAGTATGAGTTATTGCCCTTGTTCTTGAAAACATGTTCAATTTTTAGCCTGTAAACACTCCAGAAGACACATTTCTTAACAGATTTTGACAAAACTTGGCATGAGTAATTGTTATCACCAAAGGATGAACCCTATTGAAAATCAGAAAAATCGAAAACTATTTAGTATGAGTTATTGCCCTTGTTCTTGAAAAACGTTCAAGGCAAAGAAGGCAAAGTTCTTGACGGATTTTGATGAAACTTGGTAATATTATTCAGTATCGCCTCAAAAAGTTCAAAAGAAGTGTATGTCTGAAGGTTGAATATATCATACTGGTAATTGTTACTGTACTGCCAATTTTTTTTATTATACGCCCACATGAAATGGGGGGCGTATATTGGCGTCACCCATGTCCGTCCGTCCGTCCACAATTGCTCATAAACACTCTACAAGACACAATTCTTGACGGATTTTGACAAAACTTGGTATGAGTGTTCGTTATCACCCAACGATGAACCCTATTGGAAATCAGAAGAATCGAAAAATATTATGTATAAGTTATTGCCCTTGTTCTTGAAAACCTGTGAAATTTTTAGCTCAATTTTTAGCTCGTAAAGACTCTAGAAGGGACAATTCTTGATGGATTTTAACGAAACATGGCATGAGTGTGTGTTATCAACCAAGGATAAACCCTATTGAAAATCAGAAGAATCGAAAAATATTTAGTACGAGTTATTGCCCTTGCTCTTGAAATTTTTAGCTTGTAAACACTCTAGAAGGCACAATTCTTGACGGATTTTGACAAAACTTGGTGTGAGTGTTCGTAATTACCCATGGATGAACCCTATTGAAAATCAGAAGAATTGAAAAATATTTTGTATGAGTTATTGCCCTTGTTCTTGAAAACGCTTTCAAATTTAGCTCTTAAACACTAAAAGGCATGATTCTTTCCGGATTTTGACAAAACTTGGTTTTATTGTTCAGTCCTGCGCTGAAGATTGAATATTTGCCTTCTAGAGTTTTCACAAGCTAAAGAATTGAACATGTTTTCAAGAGCAAGGGAAATAACTCATACTCAATATTATTCAGTATCGCTCTAAAGAGTTCAAAAGAAGTGTATGACTGAATTCATGATATTTTTGGAATTTGGAGTGGACACATTCAAGGGAATTTGGAAAATACAGTTATTATTCAGTGAAGTGTCGATTTCAGCTCTATTGAAGTTGATGCTGATGACATTGTCATGTCAATCAAACTCAATGATAAAAGTAGTCTGTTAAGGGGCTGAGCTTATATTTATATTCTGTTTACACAGATATAAACTGAATGCATGTGACCTCTGTTACCCAATCAAATTATGTGAATCGTGATTTAATAATTATGGTTTATTAACCACACCATTGTTTTTATGGCTTATAACCTTGGGTACATTTCAGTGGTAAAAAGTTGAAAGAAATAGAGGAATTTATCAAATCATTACCATGTTCTAAAGTATCACCAGTAAAGTCTGGATCAGAAACAGTAGATGAAGATATTGTACTAGCTATTGAAGAGGAAGGCTCAAGAATTCATGTAAGTATGATATTTAGTGTGCACTGTTGAAATAAATGAAGTATGATAATTATATGTGTATATTTGAACTAAGTTCATTTCATTTTTTTTTTAAGACTCAGCTTTTAACTACCAAAAAAGGGAAAAAATATCTTAGGCCACACCTTTTTTACAATGCGTTAGGGATTTTTTATTACTGTGATAACATTATCTGTATTTTTGATTTTTATTGCAGACATTTAATAAGGAAAAAGAAAGATGTGTCAAAATGCAAGTCAAGCCTCATTTATTGTATCGGGTATGTATTTACTAATTGATGATTTGTTATCGAATACAATAACCCTTAATGACAAGTTATGTCCAACCGGATATATAAAGCTTGTTGCTATTTGATATTTTTATGATTATGTGAACCTCTTTTTTTTTAACCATTTTCAAGTTAGATTGTTAAACCTTCACTATCATAAATTATGTGGAACATTTTTTTTGCTTTCAAATGTGTTATTTCTTGATCAATTTTTCATTACAGCCAGTATTAGGTTTAGGTCCGATCATGCCTGATGCACATGCTACGTTTGAACTATATGACCGTGTAGTAATATCTAAACAAGGTTATGCTGTACCATTTGGTTTACAAGGCACTGTAGTTGGTATACATCCTGCTGAGAAAGAAATGGATGTGTTATATGATGTAGTGTTTGATGAGGAATTTGTTGGAGGTATCGAAGTTAGGTAAGAACAGTGAAATGTCATGGGAAAAAAAGTATCTACAAGATATCTCAACAGATTACTGTATATTTTACATGCCCACATGAAATGGGGGGGCTTTTTTTGACGTCACCCATGTCCGTCCGTCCACAATTGCTCATAAACACTCTAGAGGGCACAATTCTTGATTGAGTTTGGCAAAACTTGGTATGATTGTTACCCAAGGATAAACCCTATCAAAAATCAGAAAATCGAAAAATATTTAGTATGAGTTATTGCCCTTGTTCTTGAAATGCTCGTAAACAGTCTAGAAGGTCCAACTCTTGACGGATTTTGATGAAACTTGGTGTAAATGTTTGCTATCACCAAAGGATGAACCCTATTGAAAATCAAAAAAATCAAAAAATATTTAGTATGAGTTATTGCTCTTGATCTTGTAAAAGCGTTTTTAGTTTGTAAAAACTCCAGAAGGCACAATTTTTGATGGATGAAGATGAAACTTGGTGTATGAGTTATTGCCCTTGTTCTTTAAAACGCGTTCAATTTTAGCTTATAAACACTCTAGAAAGTTCAATTATTGACAGATTTTGACGAAACTTGGTGTAAATGTTTGTTATCTCCCAAGGATGAACCCTATTGAAAATCAGAAAAATCAAAAAATATTTAGTATGAGTTATTGCCCTTGATCTTGTAAAAGCGTTTTTAGTTTGTAAACACTCCAGAAGGCACAATTTTTGATGGATGAAGATGAAACTTGGTGTGAGTGTTTGTTATCCTATTGAAAATCAGAAAAATCGAAAAAATATACCAATGTTAGTTCTTGAAAATGAGTTCAAATTTTAGCCAGTTAACACTCAAGAAGGCACAATACTTGATGGATTTTGACAAAACTTGGTGTGAGAGTTTTTATCAACCAAGGATGAACCCTACTGAAAATCAGAAGAATCGAAAAATATTTAGTAGGAGTTTTTGCCCTTGTTCTTAAAAATGCATTGAAGTTTTAGCCTGTAAATACTTTAGAAGGCCCAATTCTTGACAGATTTTGACGAAACTTTGTATTATTATTCAGTATCGCCTCAAAAAGTTCAAAAGAAGTGTAAGACTGAAGGTTGAATATTTCATACTGGTGATTGTTACTGTACTGCCAATAAATTCTTTATAAAGGCAGCTTGCTTAGAAATTAGGTATCAATTTCAAACTCTCATATGAGCTCAAGTGAATCATTGGATTTGATTTCAGGTGTTCCAAGAACCGTGGCTACAGAGTACCATGCTTCACAATGATAAATCTAACTTATGGTGAAATGAAAGAAAAAGGAATGTTACATCTTCGGGGACAGAAAGTAGAAAAGAGTAGTCCTCGTAAAAGTAATAGAAGGGAGGAAAAGCCAAAATATGGAATACTTTATCCTCAAGGCTCTCAACAAGATGATAGAAAGTTTGATTCTGGTAGAGGTTATAGTAATCAGAGAAATGATCACCAGGGTACCAATAATAACAGTTATAACACACAACCTGTCCCTAATGCTTGGTCAACATCAAATCAGGGATCTAGTCGAACAAAACCTCATGATAATTCTCGAACTGGAAAGGTTTGTATTTTGATATATCTCTCATAAGATGAATTACATGTGTGGAAACATTAATAAAATATGTATTCACTATCAAAGTAGTGCTCTTTTAATTACAGAGCAATAAAGTGTTTTTCAGTAATGTTCATTCTTTCTGATAATAATAAATCAATCATTCCATTGTAGGTATTTAACAATGACAAATATCCTGAATTTGGTGGAAATGGCAAAGTCAATCCTCAATTTGTCACACCTAAAGTGAGTCCATCTCAAAATCCAATGAGAAAAACTTATTCAGATTTAGCTGGCCATTCTCGGGGTAGAGGGCAAATACATGTAAGTATTTATTTTTTAATTTAGGTACTTTATTTAACATCCGAAATATCTTTCAAAATCATTGATTTTAGTCAGTAAGATTCTTAGATCTTCTTTGAAACTGTGAACTCTCTGACAACAGTCCTATTGTTTGAAATATACAAACTGAGCTTATGTTTAGATATTATGTAACATTTGTTCTCTCTTTGCAGCAGCAAGCATGGCCAAATAAAACAGTATCAACAAATTCAGAATTCTCTGATATGTGGTCTCAGTTACAGGCTAAATCACCAACAAAACAACACTCTTCACCTACCCCACCATCTTCATTAGCATCTTCAGAAGGACAAGCTCCTTCATTAACTGATGCTATCAAAGCTCTTCCCAAAATTACACCACCCTCAATTTCTCCAAACACAGCCAACACATTGTCAACAAATATCATCCAGTCTTTATCACCCAAACCAAGCAATGATAATTCAGAAAGTAGATCTACACCATCTCCTAACAGACCATCAGATCTTTCTCTCAACAATTCTAACAGTAGAAAGATTGATTTAAATCAGTTGTTTGGAAGTGCTGGCAATCAGAAAGTAGTTGCTCAGGATGAATTCTCTTCTAATTTTGAAAGTTTATCAATATCACAGAAAGATAAAGCAGAAGATATCTCAAACAATTTATCACTACCTGTAAGTTATATGTTTTGCAAATTTATGTTTATGTAAAGTATTCTGAATGGGGTGACTAAATAACTTCCAAAAATAAGATGAGATATTTGATATGGAAGAAATGCAAATTGTTAAAAAAAAAAGAAATACTAATTCAGACATGAATATAAAATAAATGAATTTTCCTGGTAACAAACATCCAAAAAGTGAAATGAAGAAAAGTAAATTTAATGTAATGCTGAAATATTTTTTGTCGATTAAGTAAAACAGAACTATCAATTTTTTTTCAATAATTTCAGAATGGTAGTGAAGCTTTAAAACAAATGTTACATGTAAATAATACAGCAGAGAAACCTTCAGAAAAACAGCAACAAACTAAATCATATGGTACACAATTATCAGTTCACGATTTATTTAAAGGTATATTAAAACTGAATATATCTCATTTTTGTTGAAACTTTGAGTAATGTTCAAATATCAAATTAAAGAGTTCTGAAATTTTGTTAATAATAAAGTAAAAATGTGTATGTCATTGTAGTGGCTAAAGAAAAATCTCCACCAGAGCAGAGAGATGAAAGACATGAAGGCCATAAACAACAGCAGTATAACAAGTCATCATTATTAGAGACATCCAATGTCTCTATGTAAGTTAAATTAAAATAGCTTACTATTCTCTTCTAAGTTACCATTGTCTCATTCAATATTTTTCAGCCATTGTACAAAAAAAGTGATTGGAGGCCCTCCATACCTTATATGACTAAATGATGAATGTACATTGTTTTATATTTCAGGAAACCAATAGAAGAATTGAATATGATATGTTTATCAAGATTTCAACAAGAACCACGATATGATATTAATATTGTCAATCCGGTAGGTCTTTCATTATCTTTAACATCATCTCAGGCTAATGACAGGTTAGGTTAATAACATTTTATTGATAACTTCAATTGTGGGTAAAATATACAGGTTAAGAATAATTTAACTCATCAGCTGACAATATAAAAACATGTATCTGAGTGACTATCTTGTTGTATTATCTTGTATAATCGTCGCACATGCATTATATGCAGAATCTTGGTTTATATGAATTTAGCCTAGTTGTATCTCAGCTAAGACCCATCCTCATGTTCTAATATTATTTATAGAATGGTTATGTGGTGTATGTTACTATTCCTAATATGGGAAGGTTTAATGGAGCCATTTGTGGAAGTAAAAACGAAGCTAAAGCAAGTGCTGCTAGTATTGCTATATTGAGAATGGTATGTCTGATTATTGCTAGTTTTTTCCACTTTGCTCGTTTTCATATTGTTTCAAAACGAAAGTTGAGCAAATTCTGTTTTTTGTTGAAGTACATCTGTGTAACAGGAATCTAATGGGTCCATAAACTAATTAGACTTTCAGTACTTTGTTAGATAATGTGATCCATAATGATGTGTGTTTTTATGTATCTTAGGGAGGTGCAAGGACAGCATTTACGAGAGCTGGTCAACCAGATAATAGAGCTGCAAACAGACAACTTTTTTCACCTAATTCTGCTTTTAGTCCTGTGATGCGAGGTTAGCTTATCATATAGGTTTTCAGTATAATACTATAAAACATGTTTTCAACAAATGCTAAAATACAGATTTATAGATATTGTGGGTGACAGCTTGAAACTTCGTATATGCCATATTTGGTCATTTTGACTTTTTAGTACCGTTCGAAAGCTTGTAAAAGCATGTATCTTATGATCAAAACCTTGTTATCTTAGCTTGATTGTAAATAACTCAAAAATTATATAACACATATATAAATAGTCAGTTTAAAACCTCGAAAAATATTATATCATACGAGGTTCAATGTTCCTCTTTCTGAGGATGAAAATGAAAAACCTCGTATACTGTACTATTATACAAGTTATTGGTTCAATAGACGGGAGTACTCAAATTGTTATACAAGGCTCATATATTTTTATACGCCCACATTTAAGATGGGCGTATATTGTAATCACCACGTCGGTCCGTCCGTCCTTCCGTCCGTTCACATTTGGCTTGTGCTCACTCTACAGGCTACAGTTCTTTATGGATTCTTTTGATTTTTATTTTGTATGTCAATGTTGTTATGAAGATGATCCCTATTGATTTTCGTGATGATCGGATAATTTTTCACCGAAATATCGTGTCTGACTTGACGTTTCACTCTATTAGCTATATTGTGCAACTCGTGCTCACTCTACAGGCTACAATTTTTTACAGATTCTTTTGATTTTTATTTTGTGTGTCAATGTCATTATGAAGATGATCCCTATTGATTTTCGCGATGATCGGATAATATTTCACCGAAATATCGTGTCTGACCTGAGGTTTTACTCTATTAGCTATATTGTGCAACTCGTGCTCACTCTACAGGCTACAATTCTTTACAGATTCTTTTGATTTTTATTTTGTATGTCAATGTCATTATGAAGATGATCCCTATCGATTTTCGCGATGATCGGATAATATTTCACCGAAATATCCTGTCTGACTTGACGTTTTACTCTATTAGCTATATTGTGCAACTCGTGCTCGCTCTACAGGCTACAATTCTTTACAGATTCTTTTGATTTTTATTATGTGTGTCAATGTCATTATGAAGATGATCCCTATTGATTTTTGTGATGATCGGATAATTTTTCACCGAAATATCGTGTCTGACCTGACGTTTTACTCTATTAGCTATATTGTGCAACTCGTGCTCACTCTACAGGCTACAATTCTTTACAGATTCTTTTGATTTTTATTTTGTATGTCAATGTCATTATGAAGATGATCCCTATCGATTTTCGCGATGATCGGATAATATTTCACCGAAATATCGTGTCTGACCTGAGGTTTTACTCTATTAGCTATATTGTGCAACTCGTGCTCACTCTACAGGCTACAATTCTTTACAGATTCTTTTGATTTTTATTTTGTATGTCAATGTCATTATGAAGATGATCCCTATCGATTTTCGTGATGATCGGATAATATTTCACCGAAATATCGTGTCTGACTTGACGTTTCACTCTATTAGCTATATTGTGCAACCCTGTAGTCACTAAAGACTGTTTAATCATTTCTGACAGCTGCCAGTGGGCGTATGTTACCTTGCCTGGCAAGCTATCTTTAAAGAATGAAAACCACGTATAGCGGTAAATAAAATAGTAATTAAGATTTTAACAAAATAAGCGTACAAATAGTTTTTTGCATTTATCACAAAAAATAATTTCGCGTCATATATCGTTATACGAGGTTTCAAGCGGTCAACCACAATATGTTGTTTATGATTAGATTTAAAGTTGTCAGGTTATTGTATTATGATGTCAATTAAAATTATCTTGAAAGTCAATAGAGGGCATTTGATTTGTCATATTCTTAGGAGACTTACCTCTGTTATGTATATGTAGCTAATCATCTTTTTTTTTATAACAAGTCATCATTATTAGTACTACTAAGCAATACATTATTCTTTCATATAATTTCAGCTCAGCAAGTTGGAAATCAGGGACCTTTCAGACTCCCATTTGGTATGCAAGGCTTTCCTGGTCAACCTGTTCCTCAGTCTCATCAAGCATTTGGTGTAAGGCACAATATTAATCAATGGGTTGCCAACTTTAATCAGAGACAACCACCAAATCAGTTTAATCGATTTCCAAATGGATTTCCACATGGTTACAACCAGCCATTTGTACAACCTAATCAGCATGGTGGTTTTAATCAACAACACCAGCCAAGACCTTACACCCAACAGCAACCTGGTTCTTATAATCAAATGGTTGACCAACATGGTGGTCATTATCAACAACACAGTAATTTTTACCCACAACAACAGTCTCACAATACACATCAAGATCAATCCAATACAGAAAATAAAAATAATAATGATAACAGCAAGACCAATGAACAGTCATCAAAATCCAACCCATTTGTCCCATTACAGGTCAGTAGAGAGTGGAGGGTGATAGTGAGGTCAGTAGAGAGTGGAGGGTGATAGTTGATAGTTGAAGCTTTTATTTATTACACGGTGTTAAATCCTGCCAAATCAATACATCTGTCAGGTTTCTATCAATATGGTACTTCAATACAAAGTTTGATCAATGTATTAGTTTACCAGTGAAGTACTCAAAATGGTTCTTGCTCAGGATTCTGTAATATTTATGTGAAACATTCTTATGTAATATTGGAATTTATTTTCAGATTGTAAACTTTTATGATATCAAGTTTAAGCACAGATGCATGAAAACTTGAATAAGTCTCACTAGAAGTGTTGGGACTTGTAAGACAACATGAAAATGCTCGTTAAAAAGTTCTTATGTTTTATTCTAGAAACTTGGAAGACTTGGGATCTCAATTCTCATGCAAAGTCATCATTGTGTAAAGTCCTTGACAAGTCCACATAATGTTGTTTGAATCATGTAAGATTTGTTAAATCAATGATTAGCTCTTTTTGTATTTGTAGGTTACAAAGAAACAGAAAACACCTAGTAAAGTTAACAACCATCAAATTAGTGATACAAGTGACTCTGCTTCTTTAAATGATTGTAAATCTTCATTTGAAGTGAAATCTGTTGGCAATTCTGCTGCTTTACCAGCTTCATCTAGAACTCCTAAATCAGAATCAAAACCTAAAAACTCTCCACCTAAGAGCGGGCAGAAGAAACGTCGTACTAGAATAGCAGCTAACTTGAATTTTGGTCCTTCTTAGGCTTGTTGGGAAGTGTAAGAGTGATAAATAAAGCCGAGAACTTATGGTTCCAAACAGTTAAGGCAAAAGAAGGAATCATTGAAAATGGAATAGTTTCCTAGGAAAGAAGGCAGAAAAAGAAGGCATACACAATTATTTTCCTGGATCATTTAAAAATCAAATTCACAGAGAATGGTTATAGAGTGTGATTATTTTTGTAATAAGTCATAAATTGAGATATATATTTATAGATATATTCCGTGGCCATGACAATGTTTCAATATGTTCGAATTGATTAAGTTTGCCTAAACCAGCAAAGATAACGTATTTGAGTCATTTTCTATTATTCAAACATTTATTTCCAAAATCTATTGAATTTATAGGTAAAAAATCTATTACAGAAAAGCAAATATAATGTTCTTGGTAATTTTTTTCATTTTATAAATGCTAGCTAATGCATAAAATTGATTTCATTTGTTTCTTTTTCATATTATCAATGAGTTTAAGGAAAGTTACTTTTTATAACTTATAATTTTTATGTCCTGAATTTGGGCATTTTTGTTTTTATTTTGTTCTCAATTTTGTTCAACAGTGGCATTTCCTTAAGAACCAGTGATCTAACTCCAAACTAAATTATGACTGAGATAAATCCAGATTTGGATTACAATAATGTGATTGGTTCCTTGCAATTAATGTCATATTTGTTAGTCGATCGATTATTGTTAACCGTTGATTTGAATTTATCTCATTCATTAGGCTCTAGATTAACTTTTAACTCCTAGTCAACTGTTTAGTTTGAGAAATAAAATCTACATATAATTTGCACTTGCATCAATTATCACTCTTGGATCAAGTTAACATTACAGATGAGACTAGATGCATTTGAAATAACTTGGTAAAGAATCAAGACATACTGGTATGTTAATGTCATATTTGGAATCATAAATTATTTATCCTAATTAAAAAATCTCCAGCTTGTGTTTGTTCCCTGTCTGTTACTGACTCTCAGTGAAAGTAGAACAGAGGTTTTTATGATTTATTTATGCTAATTTTATGATGTTTTATCACCTATGTGATATGATGTATATTTTGTCAAATAAAGGTGATAAATTTATTTCTTTTGTGTGCTACAATTTCACATTGCACTTTATTGTGAAGTCTCTTATATGTTTCCGACTCATTTCAGCCAACTGTAGTATTTATTGATAAAGGGAGGAAATAACAAACAATGGTTTATATCATAATGGGGTAAATAAATCTATAAGAATAATGCAAATAAAAATCCTGTATAGGTGCATCAATGTCCTAAGAAATCCTGTGAATAAAATAGTGATTTCACGGTTTATTTGCAAAAGTTGATCATTAGGTGGTCATGGCCACGTGGCTGCAGACATACAACCTCAGGTTATTTATTGCCAGGAAATTACCTCTGCTTTTTCTAATAGGAAAGACTTTCTCTTGATCCATTAGATCCACCAAATTTTCACTATCACCACCTCCAGTTATATGGAATTTGATTTCTGTCTAAATTACTTGTCTAAATTAAAGATCAGAAAACTCTTTGGTTGTGTGGTAGTACAGAAGAATAGACACTTTCTTCTTCACCTGGAGGACCTTGTTTTATTCTTGGCATATGTAATGATGGTACACTGAGTTGTTCTTTGTTAATAATTCAGATTAGTAGTTTTGACATGATAGTTGACATGGATAAATTATTAAGTCGTTTGGATGAGGAACTGAACCATAAGTCTTGCTTTTAAATTCCCTTGAGTGTTAAAGATTTCTTGTTGAACGCAGTGTAGTTTTGCCCAAGCAGGTACATCAAAAATCGCATTGGTGTTTGGTAATGTTAATTTTCTCTAGAATTAACCTACAATTGAAATAAGCTGATAAATGATGTGATGTAGTTGACTGTGTTAGACAAATGCTTTGCTGATATGATCAATATCCTATATTATGTATTCAATTCATTTGGTTAAGATACCAATAATGATGCAAATTGAAGATTTCTGTCTTGTTAAAGTGTATAGGAGATCTATTTGCTCAAATACCAATGGCACAAACATTGATTACCTATGTAGATTTTACAGTATTTCCATATATAGAGATGGACTCAAAATTTGTCATCAAAGGACTCAATATAACTTTGAATATAGTAAATCCTGCCAGAAATTCGAGTTTAATAATAAGTCATCCAATAGTGGTGTATTTATTGAAAAATTTGGACATCATTTTTATCTTGAAAAGTTACATACAATATTTTCACTCCAATAGAGTGCTGAAAAGCCTCATATTTACAGTGGCAAGTGCTCAAATCGCTAAAAATTATATACCAAATATTACAGAAATGTGTTTCATAACTTATCTAAAAGAAAATCTTGCAATTAAATATTTTACGTCCAAACTAAAGGGAGGCTATGTTTGACCAATCATACTTTAGTATCAGAAACTGGAATTTTTCAGTTGAGCTAATCAGTAATAGTGTTCACAGCTCAACGTCGAAATTTGAGCCTTCAAATCCATGTGTGTCCAGAATTATCAGCGTTTGATTGTTAAAATACTCTGTGATGTATAGAAAAGACATATACAGAAATAGTAAGTAAAATTCCCAGTTTGAAGTATTTTAAAGGAATTGTGTGATTTTCATACATTTCTAGAACTTCTGAAGACAATTTACATCCATTCAAGACTAAAATCAACCCCCCAAATTGGCACACCTGTCTCTTTAAAAGGTTTATGTAAACTATTTACGTTCTGCTTTTGGTTAGTGTTAGAAAACAACTGTACGGATTTAAGCAAAATAAACACCTAATTGTAGAAAAATATGTTGCCAACGTAATTAGAAAATTTCAAGTCAATGTATCAAGTTTTTATGAGACCAAACACCAAAACTAGATTTAGCTGCTTACTTAATTAATAGTACAATTTATTCTTAATTATACTTTTCAAACAAATTCAGTTTGATTAAATAAATTAATGGATGTAAATACCATATTTTAGAAATATTTTCTTGAGTAATTTATGATGTTTTTGATAATGAAAATTTTACATACTGCCCTTTATATAATTATTTGCCTCGTTGATTAAGAAGATAGATAGAGGTAATGGCATGCTTAATAAATCATTTCAAGTTTTATTTATCATGTTTTTAATTATGGAATTTTGCACACTGCCTCATTAAGTAGTATGATTTTGAACATAGTTGTTTCTTACCAGCTGTACACATTATTTTGCCTGTTTTAATTTTGTAACCATTATTTATATTTTAGCCTGGATGAAAAACTTTTTGCTTCACTATGATAATAATTTGTCTTAAGTTTGGCAAACTTTGCAAGCAAACCTTTACAAATCTAAGACAACAATAAAGCAAACTGATCTTAATGATTAGTTCACATAACTATATGTAGATCGAAACCCAAATATTAGAATAGATCTAATAATAAACAACAACTTTCCTGATTCATTCTAGATGTCAACACTGTACAATTCAGAATAGCAAATGGTTTAATTTGTCAGAATTTCAGAATTTTATACCCCCCACTGATATCAATGAACAAGTAATAAAGATAGTTGACCATTAAATCATTTTCAATCAAAGACTACCCTTCAATTTGATTGTTTGATTTATTCATACTTGATTTCAGATAGAAATTGATTATTGACTGCTTAGGACTGGAGAATTGTGGCTATAGTCTTGAATAGTTTAGAATAAACATGATTTGAAAGTTCAACAGTGGTATGGTATTATAAAGGGCTGTATTATTAGTTGGGATATTTGATAGTGGGTGATTTCTATTAAACATTTTCTATATATTATTGTTGTCTCTCGACCTATCAATATATTAGAAATTTACTATATACAACCTCCTTAGCAACCCTTTACTTATGCATTGACATTGTTTTGCCAAGTTCGTAGTGTCAAATGTCTATTTGGTAAATATAAGATTTAACTTTCTCTTATTATGTTTTTTTTTTCAAACATGTTATATGTACAATAAATACTCGACATAAACAATATGCAACTGAAAACATTAAATTTTAGGTTGAAACCTTTTTTCCAGAAAGTGTATTAAATATAATGCATTCTTATGTGATTATTATATTGTGTTTAGTATTTTTAGATATGAAGACAATATGTAAGTGATGTTACACTGAAAGAAAGTGATAGTAAATATCAAGGATTATATCGAGTAGCCTTACATAATTAAGGATAATCATGTCTCTTGAACAGGTAAAGGATATATATTTTTTATGTTATATGTAAAAACTGAAATCATTGTTTCTGCATTATACATATTTTTTATATTTTTTAAATATTAGTGCTTCCAGATGTTAAGAGATCTAATACATATATACATACTATAACTATTCACAGACAGAATAATTTTATTTGGAAGTTTATATTTATTACTTCAGTTACTTTTAATGTCAATTTCAATCACTAGGCTACTCTTTCAAATGATTTATTTACATCAGAAATTTAAATCACAAATATCGATTTACAGAATTTTTGAACATCATTAACTTTATGAATATTTTTATCTTTTGAAATGAAGTAAATTATTTCTCATATGGCATTTCAACTTTGAAATATCACCATCATTTTCATTAAGAATAGCATGTGGCCTTTGGAATATCACATTCCTTATTTTTAGAATATCACATGAAAAAGCAAATTACCATCAATTGGATTACTTTTAAAGATATTTACAAATTCAGCTATCATTATCACCTATGCACATCAATTTTAATTATGTTTTTCTCCTTATGCATTAAATTATGTCAACATGCTTATACTTAAGTCTTTTTAACATCTAAATATTTTATGCAGTACCTGAATCTTTATTCATGATTTCTGCAGGATGTACAACACAGAGTGACAGTGGCTGAGCCAAATGAATTTGAAATTAAACATCGACCTGACTTTATAACACATTTACCTCCACTCAGTGCTAAACCTGTAAGTTAACTTATTTTAACATTATATCATGATTGTTTGTTTGTTGTAAGGTACATAGTGT